AAGTCGGAGCACCACGCGCTGAGCAACTCCGCCTTGAAGAATTCCGGCCCCCCCACGCACAGCCCCCCGCGCACCACCGCCCCGCTCACGTCGCCACGAGCCTCCGGTATTTCGGCCAGCCCCGTGTCTCACGCGTCTGCCCCCCTGTCGTACGCGTCCATCTACCACACCGCCGTCACGTGCTCGCAGTGCCCGCCCCAGTTCCTCCCACAATGTAGATCAGCGTGGCGCGGTTTAAACGGATCCGGGCAAAAATTTGTAGTGTACTGTAGCGCGGCCGCGCTCGGCAGTCCGCACAGTTATTTTAATTTTAAAATTTAACTTGTCGCCACTTGTCAGCCTGTACTGTAGTGGGGCCCCGCCCCGCAGTCCGCACAGTAATTTTAATTTAAAATGTTTCACTTGTCGCCACTTGTCACCGCCACGTGTCCCCGTGGCGGCCTGGCCTGCGGCCAGGCCCCGCCCGTGGCCGCCACTTGTCACAGTAGCGCCAATGGCAACGCGGGAGCGCAAGGACATACAGACACACACACGTGGCCGCCACTTGTCGCCGCAGCGCCCCCGTGCGCCAATGAGAACCCGTGCGGGAGCGCACGAACACACATACACAAACACACAGACAGACAGACACGGATTTTAGTATACGCGGGGATGAGAAACAGATCAAATCTGTCCAACGAGGATGACAGCAATGCATAAAGCTTCATTTACGAAGCATGAAGAGCTGCAGAGCTTGATCACCGGCGTTCTCCGTCGCCGAGGAATGCCATGCTACCGTACAATCCGAACATCTACCGTAGACCACTGACATCAGTCTCTCGCTGATCGCTTCTCCTTAAATTCGCTTCGTCCCCACCGTATGCGGTCATCTCATAAACGGCCGCTGCTCAGACCACAAGACCATAACAAAGATATTCTTGACTTGGGCGACAGTCACTTGCTGGAAAAGTAGGATTTGTCTTTGGTTTTCCAGGCACAGATCAAGATCCTTGAGGAGCGAGAATCCGGCACCAGCTCTAATTTTCATGCCTTTCCACAAGAATGCAAGTCCAAGTCTTGGGGGCTGGGTGCGACGTCGGACGTAGTTGCCTCCACCTATCCTTCTCAGGTGCAAACCTGCTTCTCGACTGCGGCGCCCATCCGGGGTTTGCTGATGCAAGACGGTTCCCGGATTTCAAATCCCTTGGCTCGAAATTGTCTTCACTCGACGCGATTCTCATCTCTCACTTTCATTTCGACCATGCAGCAGCGTTGCCGTTGCTCACAGAAACATTGCAATGCCAAGCTCCTCTGTACATGACGGAACCGACTCGCGATTTAGCTGAACTCATGCTTTCTGATTTCATCTCAACCTCCGCTTCAAGAAGACAGCACTGCCCTTTTTCAAAGGCCGACGCCCGCAATTGTCTTGCTCGAGTTCGTCTGTTGTGCTTGGGGCAGACCACAGCAATCCAGGGAAAAAGCACTGAAATATCGGTGACTCCCTACTACTCTGGCCACGTACTTGGAGCAGTGATGCTACATGTCAGAGTAGGTTCAACTTCCGTTCTGTACTCAGGAGACTACTCAACACGATCTGACCGTCATCTTCGAGCTGCCAATGTGCCGTTCGGGCTTGAACCAGATCTTTTCATTACGGAGGCCACTTACTGCTCGACTGTGCGAAGGGAAGGGCGCAGAGCACAAGAAGATGCCCTCATGAACGCAGTCACGGAGGCGGTTTGTAATGAAGGCAAAGTCCTTGTCCCGATTTCGGCATTTGGACGTGTTCATGCTGTATGTGCGCTCTTCGCATCGCATCCGGATGCTGACTTGTTGAAGAACGTCCCATTATACGTTGTCAGTGGCCTGGCATCCAAGGCCATCAACTCGTACGAAAAACACACAGACTGGACTGCGAATACAAAGAAAGGTGATTCCACACATACTGATGCATCCCTTCCGAACGATGGAGTAGAGCAACAGGCAACGCTGGCTTGTGACCCTTTTACTTCCCGGCTTAAAACTTTTAACAGAAACGAGCATTGGGGAATGCTTGAGGCTCCTGGGTCTATGATCCTGTTTGCAACACCTGGGAATATGTCCACTGGACTATCTCTCGATGTGTTCAGGGAATGGGCATCAGACTCGCGAAACACTGTGGTGGTTCCTGGGTTCTGTTTTGCAAATACCTTTGCCTCCAAGCTAATCTCTGGACATTCTGTGGAAGGTCACTCGTCTGAAATAAATTGCCGATTGGTGAACATGATGTTCGGCTCGCATGCTGATGCTCGGGGTATAGTACGGACATGCCGCAAAGTGAAAGCTCGTGCGGTAATGTTGGTCCACGGGGACCGCGACAAAGTTACCCAATTCCGACAGCAGCTAAGCGATGCCTTAGAAGTTCCGTGCTTTGCACCAGCGAATGGGGATACCGTCGTGATTTCAACGTCCTCACCTTCCCGTTTATCACCGAGTTTGGTAGATGGGGCAATAGGGTCAGGGATCTCCGATGAGTGGCTCACCCTAATCAATAGATATACGAAACAAGCTGCGGAGCTTTCAGTTTCAAAGAGATGATTCTGCGTCGACTTCTCACACTCCTGCACACTGTAGAGGCTACAGGTCGTCTCAAAGAATTGATCATGTGCAAGTAAATGGGTCGGCTCTCTAGAGTCGTAATCAGATTGGATGGTTTGAGCCCTACATACTGTATGTGCCTGTCGCTTTCGGGTCAGACTGCATTTTTTCTTCTGTACATTTTATTCGGTCTTGAGCAAAATTGTGCCTCTGGGAACCTAACCATCGACCTGGATGTGAGGGGCAATTGCTGCTGCACGCCCCGCCGTCGCTCGTGTCCTCTCCAATTCTTCAGCGATGAGATTTGCTACCTGGTCTTTGCGGACATTGCCAAGTAGATGACGTAGTCCTTTTTCGACAAGACTAGTAACAGGTGTCGGCGCACTGGACGTCAATAGAAACCTGTCTAACTGTAACAACAGCCGGCTAAACATAACTTGATAGAAGTCCTCGTACTCATACGACCACATTGGCATCAAAATGCTTTGAATGGATTGTGGCTCATCAGGCTTTTCATCGCGATTATCATCCGGAGTTTGCCTTCCCATGGCCCACAGCCATCTTCTCCCGCGCTCCGGAGTTGCCTCGTCACCCTCCTCGTTTAGATGTGAGGGAATCAGTCCTCTCCGCCGCGCGGCATCTGCAACCTTCATAGCCATGGTAGGGTAATCTACTGCACGAATTTCTGCGTCTGGAGCCAAACAGGCTAATTCACCGGCAGCGTGAATAGCTTCCTGCAGTCCACCAATCTCATCAACAAGACCTAGGGCAAGGGCATCAGAGCCAGCCCAGACGCGACCCCGGGCAATTTGTTCGGCCTTGTCGTATCCCATACCTCGGCCCTTTGCGACAACCGAGACAAAGTCAGAGTAGAAATTATCAATTAGTGAGTTGACTCGAGTCGAAAATTCTTCAGACCACTCCGTGATGGTTCCTTGAGCACCATAATACTTAGAGAAACGCGCAGTTTCAACACTGTCGGAAGTGATTCCAAGCTTTTCAAAAAGACCAGCGGTGTTGAAGATCGAAAATATGACACCAATGGATCCGGTAATGGTCATGTTACTCGCCAAGACTTTGTCACAGGGAGCTGAAATGAAGTATCCTCCACTTGCACAAACACTGCCCATGCTAGCGACAATTGGTTTCTCCGCAACCTCAATGGCTCTAGAGATCAAGTCCGAAGCAGTCGCTGAGCCCCCTGGTGATTCAATGCGAAGGACGATGCCCTTTACATAAGGATCCTTGTCAGCCCGACGGATAGCTGCACGTGTCGTATCAGCTCCCTCATCAGTTATCGGACCGTGAATATTGATTACCGCAACAATGTCCCCTTTCGGAACGCTCATCCGCCACGGAGCAAATCGGTGTCCTGGCAGTTGCAGCCGTGCTAGAGCCTTCCGTTCTTGGCTGTCAATTGTTCCAGGCAGCTTCTGCAGCGGATTCGCACTTTCAAACCTAACAAACGGTTGCGAGGAGTCATGCACAGCTCGTTTCTCACTGTGGAGAAGCTCGACATAGTCTGATAATCTTACATGTCGAAGCGTTGGTTCCATTCGTCTGCCCTCTTGTGACCGTTCTTCGTTCGCAGGCAGCACAGTTTCCGCAGAATCTACTTCGTCCGCCTCCAAATGGGCATTATCTTTCTCCACGGCCTGTTTCACCTCGGCTTTGGCGACATTGTGTGGAATCCTATTTCTTAATGCGTCTGAAAATCCAATGAGGAAGACTCGAGGGCAGTGCGCCAGGTCCTCTAGTTTGTTCTTTGATTTGTCATCCTCAGAAGTGCTTGACAATGCTTCTTTGAGCTGCTCGTCTGAATCTTGAAGGGTCCCAACGATTCTCGAGGCGAGACACTTCGCTCTCCACATTCCTCGACACCATCGAATTAGGGAAAGAGAGCTTTTCATGTTCAGCTGGAGTACATTCTCATCTTCCGCATCCTTTCGTAAACTTTCCAAAAGCGTTGGGCAGCCCTCAAGCGATCTGATGGCGTCCTCACAGAGACGCTTTTCCACTTGCAATATGGATGAAATGTTCGAAGTTGTAAAGAACACGCTATGTTTCGCATCCTTCGGACTTACTTCTTCCCATGGACGACTTTCCAGCCACCGCAAGTGGGCCTTCAACGCTCTTAGCTCGGCCGTATTTGTCTTCTTGACCCAGTCCTGGCGCTCATCTGCGAAAAGCATAGCTCCCGGAACAGCAGTCTCAAACTCGGCAGTGTTCTGCAAAACATCCCCATTTGCCCATATCTCATCGTCCATCTTAGTATCAACCCACACTTGTTTCAGCTCCTGCATTGCATTTCGCCATTCCTCAATAATCTCTGTGCGTGATTCTGCCCGATTCTCCGCAGCATGACGCAGCCTTGTTCTCATGGCGTTGGGTAGTTCATCACGATATAGCGACTCATCAATGATACCAAGCTCTTCTGCTTCCTTCGCACACATCACGCCAACATCGATTGCTGCCGTAACGCGATCCTCAGAGATATGTCGACCGGCTGCGACTTGCGTGACAATCTCAGACATGACCGCCTTCAATAGGGCTTCAGTGGATTCCTTGTGAGGTTCCGTGAACTTTTCCTCAGTGAAGGAATTAGCTGCGGTCTTATACTCCTTCCGGGCAACTTTCTTAGCCTTAATACCTATATGTTCTAACATCTTTTTGAAGAACAAAGTACCACCGGAAAGCCCAGGCGTGATGACGGCACTGGTTGGCTGGACGTGCACAGAATCAAAGCCAGAGGCAAAATATAAAGGAACAGTCCCATTACTTACACCACCAAGGCCTTCAGGAACGTGAAGCATGGTCTGCTTTCCACCCCATCCCTTGGAGAAGTCCTGGATGACATTGCGCAGCTCGCAAATCTCGGCCAGGCCAACAGAGCTCAACCCGCCAAGCCCTCGAACAACAAGGCCAGTGACACGCGGGTCCGCCTTTGCGCTTTCGATTGTAGTGATGAGCTTTTGGAGACGAATCTCTTCATTGGAGCCTAATGGGTTAAAGGAATCGTGTGAGACGATTTCGATTTTGTCGAGGTCCAGATCGAGGATGGTCTGCCCAGGAAGGTGATGATGATGATTAAAGACTTTGTACAGGACATTGTAGGTGCGGGCAGTAGTGTACACCTTGTAAGCACCGACAATGAAGATCACGGTTCGCACACGACGGCTTCGAAAGAATTGGGCGATACGGCCTGTGAGGCGGCCCGCGACTGATGTAGACATGTCGAATTGATATCGCGCGGAACGGGCGGATCCCTACTTGATGATCACAACGATCGACAAAATGGTTGGATCAATCGCGGATCTGCCACACAGACGCGAAGGAAGTCGCGGCGGATGACGTCGTTGGAGAGGCTGAAGAGACGGTTGAAGTCATTCCCACGGTGACGTAGACATCCAATTGTCGCACTGCCTCGATCGATGAGAAGAAAGAAGTGTTACTCAACTGCGTTCCCTCTTATGAACTGACCGTCGGTCTAGATGCGGACTTGCGCAACGGGGCTTACTGAATAGAGACCTGGGATAGAAAGCGATCTCTTTAGAAAGTGTAGCCTACCCTCGAAGGGTAAAATTTAGTTCCAGAAGTTACTCGTTTCTGGAATTAGGGAGAAGCACTTGCAGAAGCCCGGATTGGACGAGACAGTCTCCGCATCTGCCAACCAGGTAACAGTATACACATGACGTCCAGCCGTGCAAGGCCACTTGGCATATCCTCCATGGCCGGAATGCAGGCCATGCAGTGTCTTTAGGGTTTAAATCTAAGGGTTACCAGATCAAAGCTAGATCCCCAATTTTGCGCAGTCCCCAGCAGTGACTGCCTCAATCTTTTGCACCACCAGCACTCTCAAGAAATCTCGATACGATAGAGATGTCAGACAGAGGCTTGCAAAGATACCACTGCTGCCTTGCAACCTCTCTAGAACTGCATCTTATGCTACCGCAGCGCTAAAGGCATGCCGTCCTTAGGCTTCGTCCCGGGAATCGCCCCACTCATCTCGTCAACTGGCACTTCCGGTCTCTGCAAACCACGACCCATCCGTCGCCCTCGGCCCTCAGCTTTGCGCCGAAAACAAGTCATCGCGACTGCCCAGCCCCCTGGTGCCTCGTCCGTCGATTCGAATGAGAGCACTTCTCCACCCCCCGGATCCAAGCCAGCCAAACGTGTTGGACTCGTCACAATTCTGCTTGTCGTCGGCGCAATATTATGGGCTCTCCTCATTAGCGCCGTCATGTTCGTCACCCGTTTACTCCGCTTTCCCTCTGACAAGAATCAAAAATGGTCCGCTTCCTTAACCTTGCTATGGATGCGCGATATTATGCGCACCGCATTCGTCCGCGTCAAAGTGCATGGACGCGAGAATCTCCCGTCTGCCGCCTCTCTCGTTGTGGCCAACTCCCAATCTCCCCTTGATATGTTTGCCCTTGCCTTCCTACGCCTCGACCTCCGATTCATGGCCCCGACTCGTGCCTTTACGCTTCCCATTCTCGGATGGATGCTTGCTCGCGCTGGCTGGATCGGCGTTGGTGGCGTCGATAGGAAGAGTCAAATGAAGACCTTGGGTGACATCGGCTCGAAGCTTACGGAGGGAAGTAGTGTCGCTATCTTTCCAGAGGGTAGCATGAATCAGTCTGGCGTCATGAAAAGGTTCCCCAGTATAGCTTTCAGACCCGCTCGAAAGAGTGGGGTCCCCATTGTTCCGGTTACCATACACGGGGGTGGGTCTATGGGCGAGGGCTTAGTCCCGTATAAGTATCCAAAGGACGGCATTCAGGTTACCATTCATCCACCAATTTCACTGGATTCAGGATCAGACAAGGAAATTGCGCAACAAGCCTACGAAGTTGTACGATCAGGCCTTCCAGCACACTTACATTAAAACTTGGTGTGTTTACACAGATCACTGCGCATAGTGAATTCGCTTGTCGATGACTTTCGCGTTTCTGCCAATTTTAAAGAATCACCGAAATGAGAACAATGCCAGACAGTGTCCCAGGTTAAACGAGACCAAAACACCCTGCCTGATGTAATCCGTATCTACTGTCCCTTGCTGGTGACCCGCAGCAATAGCTCTTACATTGTCTGTCTTGTTATTGTCCTACCGCCGTCATGAATGCATCGTGAAAATATTCTTCTGAAAGACACTAGCCGACCAAACTTTTTTATGTTGCTGCCAAATCGCCTTGCCGCTGTTAAACTTTTCTTTCATTGACAGTATCATACCTCAGAAGTGGCACTCTAAATAAATCGGGAGTATTATTGTTACTGTGCTGTATGTTCAATAATCTAATGCATCTTCCTAGACGGCTGTGTTCTATAAAAGTCTCTGCTTTCGCGGACTCCGAAAGCCCTGATAAAGAAACTCTAAACGAAGCGTTGCGTGTATCCAATTTTCCCGGTCTCCCGAACCCTCTTCTCAAGACGTCGCTACTGGTCGCCAAGAAGTACATATATATAGTATTCTCAGTAAGCTACTGATTAGTGGTTCTTACATTGCATTGTTTGATTTGGGCCTCCTTCAAGAAAGGCTTTTCAGTGAGGCTGTCTTCCGTATATGTGCACTTATGGCAAGACGCCATCGAAACCGAGGTTTGCCTGAAGAGAGTTATCTACACTGTTGTGGTTTATTCGCACGGAACGCTACCTTCCATGATCGAACCTCATTCTCACGCAATTCCATGAGCAGTTGTAGACTGACGAATGAAGTTAGGATCAACCAGTACGCAATCAGCAGCAAAGTATTCTTCGCACGGACCCCAGTCTAAAACTGCGTTCAAATCCACACTTCTCGGGATGATAACTACAAGTTGTGTAGAGTACACGGCAGCAAATCCCACGTAGATCAAGAATACTCACTCAGAGAACGTGTTTGCAAACAAGGCGCTCGCGGGTGAGACTGAAGATTCCTTTTTAAGATGCCGTGACGGTTGAAATTTGTCGCGATGATGAATTGAAAGCCGCTTTGCTATTGCTTTTGCCTTCACTTTGGACATATTCTTTTCAGGACAACCAGCGCTTGTATACTTTCCTGTATTTTTGTAGTCCAGTCGAAGCGAAAAATAACTTCCAAAGTCAGTTGGCTGCGCGTGAACGATCGCCATATTCCCTAAGTCCTGTAGTTCAGCTGTTTCCCTATCGATTTGCAGGACCTCCTTCGTTGGATCAATTTCGCAAAGATCGCGAAGAGTAAATTCCACCATCCCGATGAAAATCTCTGACATTGCTTTCTTTATTCCAAGGCAGGGAGCAGCATACACTGCCAGTCTCATTCGCCTTTCGTCGTCACCATTGCATAGATGTCGATGTTTCAAGGTAGCACTTGAAAACTCTAAGACTGCATTAGAATCCCTCTGCTTTGATATCCGGTTGCTCCTGTACGTAGGCAACCACACTGTATGTCCGTCAGTATCATCATGTTTGTGGGCCCGACTCAATTCATACCTTTGACCAAGAATACTGCGGTTCCAGTCTCTTTTGCGCAGCACTGCGGCGCTGATATCTAACTGGATTTCGGAATCGTTTTCAGGATTTGAAGTATCAACCTCTTCAGCGCTTATAGTAAGAACGCCAATCTTCTTAGATTCCACTGGGTGTGACAGCTGTGTTGTGACATGGTTTCCCTGACTTGTGAGAATAGTATCAATTGGAATAGAAACCTTGCCCAAAAGGACGTGATCTCGAAGTTTCTCCGACTGTTCTGTCTTCCTCCTGTAGATATCTACTCTGATAGCAGCATGTTCTATGCTCCGTTCCAAAAAGTCGATTTCGCTAGACGTGCAGAACTGTGGCGACACTGTGTTACATACTGTTTCCGTTCGCGCAATTTCTTTGAAATCAGCGTACTCATCTGTTCTCAAGAAAAGCACTGCGAAAGACGCAGTTGAGCTTTCCTTGCAGTCGGTCAGTGAGCGACAACCAAGAAACAATTCCAATCTTCTGCACGCTCCTACGTAGGAAGACATGATCTTCCCGAGGGTGAGTGTTTTCTACAAATGCTCGACTGAGAAAGAGAATATTGCTATGGGCTATACGTCTTGAGGGGGCTGTGATTATCGCGAGGATTGCAAAAGCCCATCAATTGCTGCTCACAGAAGAATGAAGGACGTGAAACAAGAGCTCCTGGTAGCCTGGATAGTGACTTTTTTGCCTCCGGAGCTCGAATGACGGTGTTTCAACTCTCTTGCACATATTTACTCCGTAAAATCTATTTGTGCATCCTAACCATAAAACTTTCTCAAACCAGACCACAAGAGACTTCTTCTGAACGCCTCCGCAACGCCCGAATTCAAATAACGGCAAATCTTCAAACTAGTTGTAGCATGCCACGAAACTGTCAGAAGTCTCACATCAATCATATGATGTCAACAGCGGTGCCCTGCGATACTGTGTAGAGCAGTACAGCATATGCAAGGAGTGTGCGAACATTGTTCAGACAGAATTTCCCTTTCGAAACCCCAAATTAACGAAAATCTTGCGGGGGCACTGAAATGCAATCCATGAAATTCTGCCAGACCTGGCTTGGCAGCATCGACAATAGTGAAGCACAAAAATCTAGCAAAGAAGTGGCCAAATAGCGACCGGAAATGTGTGTGTGGATCCCTTCTGAGAGACGCATATGCCCGATCTAGATTCAACTTGGGCAACGACTAAACAAAAAGCGTCTCCCTTCAAACCGTTTTCTAAGCTGTATTCATCCCACTTCCTCTACGACTGCTTCATGGGGGGAAACCCGAGACTTGTGATATCGAAATCCAAGAGATTCGCAGTTGGGACAGTTATCTGTGGTTCCTCTGCATTGTAAAGCCCGATATCAACATGGGGGTTCGGAAGGGCGACACATTTCATACCCGCAAGACGTGCGGCACGACATCCCGCAGGTGCATCTTCGAATACGACGCAGTTTGAGGGTTCCGCGTCAATGGCAGCAGCGGCTCGCAGGAAAATCTCTGGGTCAGGCTTTCCATTTACAACATCATCGCCACAGACAAGGGCATCAAATAAAGCGAAGAAGTCGTCTTTGCCGTACTTTTTGGACTGCAGCAAATCAAATGGAGAGGATGTGGCGATAGCACAACGGACTCCAATGTTTCTGAGATGCCGGACGATGGCTTCCACACCAGGGAGAATTTTGACACTCTTCATCTTTTCAAGCAGCAATTTGTTTCGTTCATCAAGGTATTGCTCTGCGGTAAGGGGGAGCTGAAGTTCGTCAACTGTGATTTTGGCGCAGGCTGGGGCTGTGCGACCGAGTAGCTTTGAAAGAATTGTGCGGACGTCTTTGCCGTATCGAGAAGCGATGGAGTCCTCGACCTCTAAGTAGATTGGCTCGCTGTCCAGCAGGACGCCATCCATATCCCAAATGACATTGAGCATCGTGGATTAATACGGTAGCTACCTCGCAACGGATTCACGACAAGGAGATGGGTCCCAAGTCCCAGGCCGCGAGATTTTACGAGCTCATTAAGTTTAATTAAGTGGTTTGTATTCCCTTCGGCTTCTCAGTCTGATGTAGAATAGTCGCGAGCACCCGAAGATAAGGCACGAGGTATGCAAGAAAATAAGGCGTGCGTTCAGTCTATGAGACGTATCGTGGTATTCATTACCCGTACTGTACACTACACGTACACTCCACGTGTTGAGCTGTACACGTTTCCGATGGGCCCCCATCGCGAAAGTGAATATGGGGTTGGCCACTTCAACGAGTTGTTAGCATTTCCCATTTCGTTCGTCACATTCCACTGCAGCATTCTTCTACACAGTACCTAAGGGGTACTCATTCAAAGGACTGAGATTGCACGGACGGAGAAACGTTTTCTGCGCTCCTGCCATGAAAGATGCGACATGCCGCCATCATAACCACGGCAACAACGATGCCGTCTACCTGCATGTATTCAAATTTCTTTCAGCTTTCCAAAATTTTAGTGAAGCAGCCACTTGAGGCAGGGAACGATGCCAAAAACAGAAAGGCGCATGCCTCTGTTGACTTTTTTGGTCCATGCGAACCAGGCCTCGAGGAAGAAGATAGCCACAGCCCATGTTTATCCTGTGGAAGGACCTTGACCTGTACGTGTTACCTCCACATGGCACGTGCGGAGCGGAGGCATTTGTTTATTCATGAGGTTCTCATCGGCAAATAGAATACTCGTCCGTAGCAAGCAGGTACAGACGGGACCATCTCGTGTACAAGGCTTGCCATCACTCGTTGAAAGACGCGGAAAGAATAGCAATTCTGTCGAGCACGCCACTGCGACAAGGCCCAAGCGGTTTATCTCAATCGCAGTATGGTACCCTTCGAAGGGTAGAGAAAGAGCAATGCGCAATGTTGTTGGGGCAGAGAACGCCACGCCAGTGGACCAAGCGATGTCGGGCCTCAAATCAGGGTCGTGCACAGGATGTGGCAGCCAGGATGTGGCAGGCATGCTGTTGCGAGGTGTTACAGTATGCATGTAGGCTTGCTGTACAGCAATGTACTTGGGCAAATAGAGAAAGAGAAGCCACTGAAGCAGGAAGGGGAGCGCAGAAACTACCCCCTTACAGATCGCTTGCTTCTCACCAGTACCCTTCTCACCGGCTTAATTTGAGCAATAGAGGGTTTACGCAAAAAAAATGACATGGCTAAATGCGTAAAACGAGACATGTGCTGTTCTGAAATTTCCATCGAAAATAATGGTTTTGGGTGTTTACGCAGTGTCGAAAATGGTTTATCTATGAGAACTACACACAACCTCTTCGACTGGTCGACACCAAACGCCATCACACGGTCATGAGACTAACAGACTATGCCATCGGCCGTTCCAGGCGTCGCCTTCGCTACCGACGCAATCGGCTGCTGCTTGCACTTGTGGCCCGTGCCCTTACCCACCTGCTCCTTCACCTGAACGAGTCACTCCCAGCGCTTCGTCAAAGCGCTTTTGCGACTCGCCATGAGGTGCGAGATGAGCGTCCACAGCTTTGATTGCTTTTAAAAGTAGTATATCGAAGGTCGACGAGAAACGCATGCGCCGTTTCTTCATCTTAACAGCAGTTGTAGATCCAGAACCTGTAGCGGGGGAGGCAGCGGGGGAGGAGTTTTTCGACGGTGCTTCAGTCCCAGAACCAAGCACCGAGGCCATCTTATGTGCAACGCTCTGAGTCCTTGACTTGGATGGATGCCTAAAGATGGGCTGGGTGGTCCGTGGCGCTGACTAGTGCGACGATTAGCAAGCGCTGACAAGCGCGACGGCGATCAAGAGATGCAGAGATGAACTAAGCCTTTGGGGCCAATAGCCCAGATGTGCAAGTACGAGAGATATAAGCGCGCTAACGAAGCAGTCAGAGCCGGAGCAGGGGAGGTGCGGCGGCTGCGAGGGGGGATGGGAGACACTTTAGGGTCATCGGCTTGGAGAGGGGCGGGCGGTGTCGTAGAGTGAGATGCCGCCAAATAATTAGATGGAAAGGTTCTCGAAGGCGAGACGGCGTGACTGAATTTTGAGTGTGCTGGTGAAGTGGAAAAGTTCCCGAGGGCGGGATACGAGTGCGGAGGTTGAGCGTGCCGCTGAGGTAGGAAAGTTCTCACGGACGGGACAGGGTGGGTGGAGGATGAACGTGCGTTGAGTTTGGTGGTCACTAGTTTGAGAATGATAGTGAGCGTGTGACCTCGACAGGAGGGCACGTAGAGGGTAAGGGTAGAGGACAGAGATACGGGTGGGGTTGGAGAGCTCGCCGTGAACGCGGTGGGAAGGTAAAGTGCAATGGGACGCGGGGAGAAGGAGACGTAGAGTGTGTCGGTCGTTTCGCTATTTCGTCGATTTAGCGAAAAATGAGTTGGCCTCTTCAGGGTTTTGTGAGACACGTATGGTGGGTGGCATACGTTTCACAACATTTGACCCGTAACGAAATCATTTTTTTGCGTAAACCCTCTAACGTTGCAATTTCGGCACCATTTGAACCACTAACCTATGGACTCCTCGCCCTCTAAAAATTCCAGAGTCCACCTCATACACCCACACCGCCCACCTGGACGGTCAAATCTTCCATCCTCCCCCCTCCACGGGTTCTGGCCCGGCGGTGGTATTATGCCACCGTCCATGATGGCACAGACTCTCGCCCATAACGGGAGATTCAAAAAGGGAGAGAGGAGAAAGAGAGCGTCGCAAGAGTCATTTCTCTTATACAAGCAGGGGAATGTGTCCTCAAAACTTGTTTTAATACAGGTGTCTCCCGAACTACGGCGACACGTATCAAGAAATTGTTTGACACCTCAAAAAACGATGAGCTTGAAAACTGCTCGATCCAGTATAGTCACGCAGGCTACAAGACAGTTTTGTCGTCACAGGAGGAACAACTTGTAGTTAAACGAACTTTCCATGCTGCAAGGCATGGGTTTGCAGTATATAGCACCGTTATGAGCACTGTAAATGTGAGAATAGCGGCTGATAGTTCTAATATGTACGCAAAAGGAGTGTCCTCACCAGATGCGATTCGATCTTTCCGGGCTCGAAATCGCTCTTGCGAACCGGGCCGCTGCAAACATATCGCGCGCACGTCTTTTAGCTCAGAGTAATACTCATATACAGACTTTGAAGCATCCACTTGAGACCGTTGACCAACTTCATCCAGGTATATTTTTGGATGCCAGCAGGATTTGGAACTGGGATAAGACTTCTGTTTCGATAGAATACGGAAAACCGTTCAGGTGCTACACTTCCTCAAGGGTACACACCGGAAGTGCTAGGAGGAGTATATGAGACTCTGGAAAACATGTAACAGCAGGAATCACCGTTGCTGCTTGCGGCAGTGTTGCGTTTATATTTATTGTGGCTTCCGGTAAGCGCGTCTGGGGTGCTTCGAACTATCTGTTGAGCAAGCAGGACTTTACATGTTCGCTGAGCATACCACGATGCCTGTGTGGAGAAAAGTTGTTTCCGACAGAAACTGCTCCTCATGTAACCGAGCACGGATCCGTGGACGGCAACGTAATTGTGAAAATTGCGGAACACATACTCAATCATGAAAGGAAAACCGTCTCCTCTGAAAAGACTATTCTGCTTTAAGTAGACATTCACAGCTCCAGAGACATGATGGAGTGGATAGAGACATGTGGACGATTGAAAATAATTGTTGTGATGCTCTCCGCATATATGGCCTACATTCTAAAACCTTTTGACCAGCTACTCAATCAAGTGTTTTAGCGTACAGTTCGAAACATTAGAGGCAAGGTTGTTCGTGAGGCACCTTTCGTGGGTTAACACATCCTACAAGATCATATTGGCAGTGGCTGGTCATAAATCTATCACACCAGACGATGCAAGGGCCTCGCTCTTCAAATGTGATATATGAGCAGGGGAATACCGTTTTGTGCACCTTTCAACGTTTTTAAGACTACAAAACGACCCGTCAATCAGGTACGAGAATGACGCTCACCGCACCAGCCGCTCTCATACAAGTAGGAATAAATTGGAGGCCACACGAGTGCACAACGGTGTGTTACAGTCCAGAATTCATCGACTTACTGATGGGAGACTGCCCGCGTCCCGGTTGCTGGTGGTTGGTTCTCTTCTTCCGTCCGACTATCAAATCCACACAATACCTGCAAACGCGATAAAAGCACCTAAAACTGCGATCTGTTGGAAGCTCCTCGCAATGTAATGCAAAATCAAAGCTTTCTTGGACTTTGTACCTACTACCGGAGATTTGTGAAGGACTTCGAGACGATAGCAACCCCTTTATCTAATCTAACTAGAAAAGATACACCATTCCAGTGGGGGCCTTCACAAAAAGGCGCATTTGAAGAACTAAAGAGCAAACTAACAGACGCTCCCGTGCTGCGATATGCAGTGACCGTATGAAGTCACTTCTGACGCATCTGAGACAAATTTTGGTGCTGTTTTGACGCAAACTGACAAAACCGGATGCCGTCCAGTAGCATATACTTCACGGAAACTGAACAAAGCAGAACAAAGATACAGAACACATGAGAGAGAACTTCCTGCTATTGTGTACTCTTTACAAACTTGGAGACCATACTTGCATGGCTCAAAGTTCAAGATATTGACCGACCATCATCCATTAAAATACTTGGATTCACAACGAATCTTTGTATTATATCCCCCTTCCCGTATTAGATTCAGATTAGATTTGTAACTGTAGAGCCCAAGCTCTACAGTACCTCGGTGCGCGCGCGCACACGTGTACTCCACGTGTACGGGGGCACGCACACACACGTGTAAGACACGTGTGCTGCCAACCCCGACGGCTGACAGCGCTACAGTGCAGGCCGACCTGCACCACTGTAATGTTATGATAGGCTACTCCGTATATTAAATATGAGCGGACCGCCGCCGGTGGAGGACGACAAGCACGGACTTATCAAGGATGCTCCACCTTGGTCCTCC